TGAGAAATACCTTGGAACCAGACCTGTTACTGTGTGATTATGCATTCACTAATCTCTCTGTAGGGTACAGAAAAAAAGCTGTCTTCCCTGAGAGAGTTTATCTGAGGAAAGAGAAAAAGCACATCTAGAAACACATTACCAAAATAAAAAATCTTCACTTTCCCACTGGACTGCATGTTTGGCCTACAAATAGCAAAATCATCATAGTCCTATGCATAGGATTTGCATAGTCACCTATTTTTAAGGTTGCCAATGAGCTTGAAGTTTCGTATGAGGACTAATTTATTGATACTTAAATGCAGCTTGCAAAAATATCAATGCCTAATATTTTTCAATTTGCACTCAGAGTTTGCATTTGACAAGTCCAAATACAGTAAGGGTATTATGTAGTGTTCTTACTCTTGTTGAAGGGGCCTTTTCATATTTCACATGAAATTCTCTTAACCATAATCAGCATTTTCAAACAAACCTTATTCATCACTTATATCCATCCTACAAGCATTTTTGAGCACCTGAAATATTTTAAGGACCTATAATTAGATACCCAGTTCTGTGAATTAGTAGCATATCCAATAGCCTCCACAAAGTATTTAAGTCAGAGGAACATATTCAAAACTGCTGTCAGCTGAGAGCACATCATAAGTTCCCTTTATAAGTGTGACTCTGGTTTGGGCCATGTTCAATGAGGACAGCCATATTCCCTCCAGAAGTTCAAAATCTGAGAATACCTTGATGTTAACATCCACAAGGAATGAACTGAACAAGTATTGAGTGAATAAAGAAATGTTTCACTAGCTGAGTGCCTTGTGCAGAGCAAGAACTCAGAAAATACTGAATTATTGGGGAAAGTAAGGGAATGATAGTGGAAAGTTATGTTAGTAAGCTATCCTTATTTGGAGAGTGTCATGATGAGATTACTGATATTTCTTCATAAAGTTTTAGAAGGCTTCATAGAGAAAGTGAGATTTCAGTTAAAACAGAGATGTTCAAAAATTTCATGTTTAATTAAGGTTCTAGAACTGTTATCAACAATGATAACACTGTGACCATTCCCCTCCAGATTAATTCAAATATATCAAGTCCCTCATAAAACATGAAACCCAGAATTGCTTCCCATTTTTAAAATCTTTTGATCCAATCTCACATTTGTCTAATTTTCTAAATCTAAGACAAGGCTTAAGAATGTGTTTATTAATTCATTGACTTTTTTTTTCATGTGATTATCCAGTTTTACCTGAAAAGGAACCATGTCCTTTTTTGGACACCTCAACATTCGCTGACTCATGACTCACGCAGCCACTGAGGACAAAGCTGGAAATGACCTTAGAGATCACATGGTGGAGGACAAAACAAGGCCTAAAAAGTGACCTGTGATCATTATATGGCAGAGTTAGGACAAAACACAATAAAATAAAAAGTGAGAACCCTTGATATCTAATCTAATATTTTTATTACATGGAGTTGTTAAAATACTGAGGGATGACTTGTCACACAGTTGTTTGATGGTGTGTCTGAATGTTGAAAATGAGTCTTAGATGTAAAAAATGACTCCATTGACTCAGCTCAGGCTGGGTTTCTCTCCTTTTTCTCCCAGAGGTGGATGCAGTGGGTAACTTCTTTGACTGACACCTAATCATCTGATAATCTAATTTCAAACACTGCGCAGTGAAGTTGGACTGACTTCTAAAAGAAAAATATGTCATGTTCATTTACCCGAAAATTTGTTTCAAAAATTTTAAAAAGATCAATTGGCTTAAAATTTGATTTTACGTGATTAAAATTTAGATGTATCAATGAAGTAAGTATCAAAGAAAGTGTTGAATTCCCTTGACAAGTTATTTTTGTTTGCTTCCCATTACAGCAATGTCTATAATATCATTTGTATTTTTAAAATTAACTGAGCAATTTTCTGCAACTGTGAAAATGGTGCCAGAATTCAAGTATTGGCTTAATGCAATATTTGTATTTTGTTATTGAAAATGTGGGGAGTCATGACCTAGCTCCTGTCTCCTTTGGAAGGGTAAAAACTGTTAAAGTAAGAAAATTCTTCAGTTTTTTGTTTCAAGGTCAATTTTATAGAAAATTTACTGACCAGATGTATGGTTTTATTTTCAATTACACAAAATAAATGCATTTGAGGTGATATAATTATTAAACTTAGAAATAACTCTTGTTAGTATCCTCTGCTGTTGTCATATGATTTTGAACTGCTGGGCCTCTTGGTGAAAGGAACTAAGGTAATTTATATACACCCACACTCTCAAACTACTTTTTGTAGAAGGTAGTGATGGTATGTTTTGTGAGACAAATCCATAGTGTTATAGAATCTTATTGGAAATCTCTGTTTACCTCTATTGATGTTCCAAATAAAGAATTTCTTAAACATGTAAAATTAAACTGAAACATCAGTGTGAAAGTGTCTGTCATTTATCTTCCAGGCAAATTAGGTTTCTAAGTTATAATGTAAAATTCATTGATGTTTCTCAATGAATATAATTACAGTTAAACAAATTTATTTGATGTTAGATAGGTCCAATTACTTTAAAATATCATCAGAAACTAGATAAGCAAGCATCCCCTTAGAAAGTTCTAGGTATTAGGAAGGAATTATATTTATACTGAACATGTTTTCTGTACTTGATGAGTTCATTTGATTAATCAATTTAAGCAACTTTTGCTTCAGTGAGCTTCAATTAAATGTAATTATGTATGGCCAGTAAATTAAAGATAAGTGTAATTTAAAGGTGGTGTTTTAAAATTTTAGCTTGGCTTTAAAATTTGAAATTAATGAGTCTTGACTTGCATAATATATATGTGGTAGCTATCTTACTTTAACCTTCATATATTAATCAAATTAAACTAAGAGTACAAGACAAGCTATTATTTTTAGTTAACATAAACTATCAGCAGCATTAGCCTAATATGATCTATGCATTAATTTAGTTTGTTGTTAATCATCATTAATTATCATATTTTCCTTGCCCATTTAGGAGCACATGCTTACTGTTCTCCTGTTCTGCGACTTTAAGTTTTATTTGTACCAAGAACTTGATATACAATGCACAATTCTTAACAATATATTAGAATAAACTAGAAGGTTACTTTTAGCTTTATACCATGATATAAGGTGAGATGGCAACTGAATAAGAGTTGGGCATATCTTTGTTTGCAAAACTTCATTGTTTCATTTAACCCAGGAGAATTTTAATATAAAATTTGGTATTTCATTTTATACTTTTAAAAATCATGCATTAAATGCAGAAAATGTTAGATTATTAGCTTTATAATAAAACACCATACTGGAGTATATGTGTTATGTTTTAGTTGATGGATGGATTTTGTATATAATTATGTATATTATACATATAGGGTTATTGTTTGCTTTTATTAAAACAAAGCAATCTGCTTAAGGGGTAGTAAGTTCAATTTTGACAAGTTTCCACTTGGCGATTGTGAACCAAAATAAACTATACTTTTTTTAAAAAAAAGATTATCACTATTCTTTAAAAAAAGCACAAACCTTCTGTGAACTCTTGCTCTTCCTATGAAAGACATGCTTCTAAACATCAGCTATACCTTTTTTATTGTGACATTTTGGAAGATAAACACTTGTATTTCATAGAACTCCATAAAAATTATTATCTAAGAAAATAAGTAAATAATGTAAATTCTCTTAAGTGAAATCTTCTGATTTATGCCCAACATTTAGTATTAAATGCCATTTTCAGCTCATTGAATTCTCAAATTAAGTTCCCCATATCACATATCAGATTTTTAAAAGTATACATCAAAAAGTGTCCTTATAAAAGGGCGAATCTACTCACTGGAATGGTTTCCATTCAGTCAGGAAACTCAAAGGGTGTTCTACTGAGAATTAAGAATGTTTTTCAGACTGGGACTCGACATGGGTAACTATTACACGATTCATGTCCTTCAGTTCTCCACGTGTTCTCAGTAAGTGGGTTGCTCCCCATGGATCTATACAGTGGGGACAGCAGAGGATCATAGAAGAGGTATTTTAAGTACTCTAATCTCATAGTGTATGCTTGAGGGACAGAATAAAATGTTTTTCTCCAGCTGCTCAAGAATGACGGTAGGGTTTGATAAAAGAAGGAAAGAAAGCAAGGCAGAATGAGATTATCAATAAATGCTGTAAACTTAGTATACTTGTACCTCTGATCCTCTTCCTTTTCTCCAACTTTTAATTGCATCAGAAAGTCCTTATATTGTCTCCTTACTCCTAACCCATTATAACTCAGCCACAAAAGGGGTACGATTTCACATCATGAATTTAAACACACACACACACACACACACACACACAAATCTGAGCCTTTGGTGTGTTGAAGAAAATTTAAACATTTTAAGATGTAAAACTAAACTTACATTATCTGAGGTATGGTAAAAATAATTATAATAAAACTAAAAAGTGCAATGAATAAGAAAAATAGAAAATAAATTCACATGTTACACATGAGTTATAAACATATTTATAATTCATTAAAATGATTGTTCATGTTATATTAATTAAAATAATAAAAGTAAGAAAATATGCTCAATGCAGAGGTACTTTAAAAAAAAAACAAAAAAAAAACCCCACCAAAAGTTAATAAAATATTTTATCTGCATCAAAATATTCTTTGGAAACCAAAAATAAAAACATATCATGTGTTTTCTTTCAGGTTGATATGTAAAAGTCAGAAAAATACATAGTCCACGCTGTGTAACGCTTTGAAAACAGAGTCCTGGTATGCACTAAGCATAAAGGCTTTATGTCTTACTGAACTGAAGCAGGGTGCTCCCTGTATTTATACAAAGAATTCCAGTTCAGTTCCTATCAGAAAACATTTTTGTTTCAGTCACACTGAAACAAATGACCTGACTTCACTACAGTGTAGTAGAGCTGAAGCTGTGTCCAAAAATGTTTCTTCAGATCTGTAAAGACTCCTATGGAAACTCCTGAGGAGGAAGTGTGCTTTCTCACAAGGCAAAGCTGAACATTATCCAAAACGAAATTTGAGTCTGTATTTCACTGTGTTGGGACTCTTCCGGGGCGCAGAAAGGGGAACCTTTGGCTTGATAGGATTAGGTGGCTTTTTCTTCTCAGGAACAGTAACCGTGAAAGAGAGTTCTGGTTGTTCCAACTGCTTGAATCTGGGCAGGAAGTGGGTAGAGATGTGCTGGGGTTTCACCCGGGGGCTGCAGCCCCGTTTAGCTTTTCCTCTCTTGTTCAGGGCCACGTACCACTCACGTCCTGTTTTTTCAGTTCTGTGTATTGCTGAGGCATAAGTATTATAGCTGTTCTCTTGAAATCGCTCCCTGAACTTGCAGTCATCTGTAAATTTGGCCTAGGGAATAAAAATATAAAGTATTTTTAGTGTGTAATAAAAAGAGGTCTTGTACTATAAAGAAAAAAACAAGAATTCCATCGACTGCTGCCCTCCTACTACATTCTATTTTCTAAGGAAATACTTGCCTTTTTAAAAGTCACTTTAACATTACTATTTTGTTTCCATAGTCCTACTTTAGTGATCTTTGTAAACTGATTTCTGTCTACTCTGTGCTTAGTAAAATAATATCAATGTATATAAACATGATAACAGAAACTATTAATATATTTAAATTCTGTTACTGCTTTTAAACTACTTTTAAATTTGTAGTTAAAAATTAACTTGTAAGATTTTCCCCTTTTAAGCCTTCAAGAAAATAGACCTATATTACACAGAAATAATTGCCTAATAAAATATGAATTCATCTTCAGAGAAATGTGGTCATGTTATTCCTTTGAAACGAGAATACGTTTTTTTCAGTGTTATCAGTAGGATTCATGGTACTGAGAGAGGGGTAACATATGGCCCTATTAATATTGCATGTGTTAAGAGTTCTTTTAGTAAAAAATATATCTTCACACGGTGATGCAGAAGAGTATATCTGATGCCAGGAAGAAAAAATTACTTTTTGAATCATTAGCAACACTTCAGGCAAATATCGACCTCTCTCTGTCTCCCCCATACACACACACACACACACACACACACACACAATATCTGCCTTTGGAATAGTAAAAATAGTAGAAGAAGCAGACAAGTCAACATCCATCACAGTGAAGCTTGATAAATAAAACAGAATTGTGACAGCAGTATGCAGAGGGTACAATGCTAGGGTAAAGGAAAGGAGCCTGAAAAGATAGAGATAGCAGGCAAGAGGGCTGGAAAGTCTTCCGAGAAAAGGTGACATCTGAAGTCAGTCTTCCAGCAGCGAGCAGTCAGGTGATGAAGGATTTTCAGGGAGCAGGGCTGGAACAGTGTGTTCACAGGTCAGCATGACACTCCTGGAAGTAATTCAGTGTGACTTCCGCTTAGGATGCACAAGAGGAGGAACAAGAGATGAGGCTGACAAAGTAGGCCAGTACGAGCTCTGAAATGGCTAAAAGAATATGGCATGGGGGAAGAGCCTGAGCATGGGTTCCTTAGCTTTAAGCTCCTCGTATCCACAATCTTTACACGCATAGGGCTATTGTGAGAATCAAAATACTTTTCTAAGGAAAGATCTGTGGCTTTCACCAAACACAAGAGTTCATAACCCTCAAAACAATTAGAATTCCTATTGTAAACCAGACCACCAGGTTTTACAATTTCATGAAGCACAATTTGTATAGAAATCCTGGGCTTAGAAATATAGACATATATGTTAAATATATATTTATATAAATATTAAATACAAAATATATATTAAATGTATATATTCTATATCAAATACCTGATGCCTATATATTAAAACACTAAATATATATAAAGTAAAAGTCCTCACTTGGTATCATTCTTGGACATAGAAGATTCAAGTGAAATGGTGTATTAGGAAACCAATGTTACCATAGGCTAATTGATATAAACACAAGTTAAGTTCCTATGACATATTTTTTATTTAAAAAACCCAAACTTCTAAATAAAGAACCAAATACTTCTAATATTAAACACAGAAACACAGAAAGTAGATCTATACAGACATTTAAGAAACATTAATAAAAACAAGTAAGGGAATTCCCTTCCAATCTGCTTATTACAGTTCAGGGTAATGGGCGTCCAGGGACAATTTGACAGATCAGTTCATTTCGTGGGCATATCTTTGGGATGTGGGAGGGATTAGGATCCCCAGAGAAAATCCACACAGATAGGGGACAATGGCAGACTCAACACAGACAGAGAGACCTGGGCCAGGAATCAATCTTTTCCCCTCATCAACATTATAATGAAACAACATTGAGCAAAGCAATGCTATTTGAAGATTTGCTGTATATGATATATTTTTATATCAGACCAAGATGTTCTATACTGGAATTAAAAGTCCTTGCTTTTTCTAGCAATGCCAAACTTTTCTCTGCAGTATAGATCACAACACCAACTGGAAGCCTGGACACTGGGAGGCAATCTACACAGATCTGTTGATAGAGTTACGTGGAATATTGTTTATGCAAAGGACAAACATAGAAGCCAACCAGTTCCAGAGCATTTCCAACAGCACATTGACTTTATGTATGACAGTTTAGATTCAAGTGTAGTTTAATCAATGAGGCTCTTTATTTGGGAGGCTATGAAGGTATATATTTGGAACGGCCACGTGGCTACTGGTGATTCCCTGGATTTGATCTTCAGCAGGCTGGAAGCAGGTGTTTTAAAGAACTGCTGCCTGTGGCTTTTTCTCATCCTATAATCTATAGCCTACGTTTAGGCCAAGGTTGACACTGACATTCACTTTAAAAGAGCACATATATTGCTCCTATTTTTTAAATTAAAAATAGTTTCTTACAATTCAAATCTACATTTGTCTATAGTTGCCTAGCTCTTTAAAGGACTTACGGCATTTTTTCTGACTATAAGACACACTTTTTCCACCAAATTTGGGAGGAAAAATAGTTGTTAATGCTGCTGTTGAGTTCTGTTTACATTTATATTGGTGAAATATGATGTCATTTATGTTATGAAATATTTTACCCCATTTTTTGCTTCAAAATTTTTTTCCTATTTTCCTCTTCTAAAACCTAGGTGCATCTTACGGTCCAAAAAATACAGGTAAATGTTCTTTAATTCAATTAGATAACCCCAAAGTTTTATTTCCAAATAAAGGCTATAGCCACTTGGAATGTTTTCTGCTACATAAAAGGATAAGCATTTTAGAAAGGTATAGGAAGTTTCATTTTAAAAAGTAGCAGAGCCCTGGCCAGTGTGGCTCAGTTGGTTGGAGAGTGATCTGTAACCAAAAGAATGCGGGTTCAATTCCCATTCACAGCACATGCTTAAGTTGCGGGATTGTTCCTGGACCAGGTTCGGTCCAGACACCTACAATTCCCAGTGTGCGGTATATGATCCCCAGTCTGGTGCGTATGGGAGGCAACTGATTGATGCTTCTCTCCCTTCCTGTCTGCTTTTCTCTCTCTCTAAAAGCAATGGGAAAAAATGTCCTAGGTTGAAGATTAAAAAAAAAAAAACAGCAGGTGTATTTACCCTGCTTCAGATATTTTTTTCTTAAAATACATTTGAAAACACTTAAAAATAAATACATAATGCATTATACTTTGATCTGACTTCTACCCGTTTCACACACACACACACACACACACACACACAAATCCATTTTCCTAAACTAGAGATAGCTGTGATTGCTTTTAATTTTGGCAGTTAGGTTTAAGTACATTACTGCCTAACTGCATTATGTAACCTATTTTTTTTCCCTGGCAGTGTCAAAGAAAATAAAGAAAAAACATCCTTTTTTCATTGGTGCGGTGCATACACATACTGGCCCGCGGTGAATGAAACCTATAGCCATTCCTCCTTCGAATCTTCATGTGAGTGAAAGCCCACTGATATCACCTTCTAAAATTAGTTAATCTAGAAACTTTCTTTTTTGTTCCTCGAGACTCATGTTTAGAAGTTCTTTCTTAAGCTAAAAGATGGCTGTTCTGGAGTTTTCAAAGGTCACCTAACTGTCACATGGGTAGAAATGTGCACAATCTGAGGGCCCACACACCACTTGCAGTCACTCAGTCACTCTAAATCCTGTGTTAAGACAGGGGTAAAGGCAGTCAGACTGTTTTGGCTTTTATAATTGACTTCTAATTTAATGTTTTGTCTAAAAAATTCCTCCAGCTACAATGGAACAGACCCATTTGAAACAAACAGTTCAGTGAGATTTTTCATCTGGAGATTTGGTTTCTTCTTGAGGGTTCGACTGTTCCTGTCACTCTTCTTGACAAGATTGTGACCCTGAGCAGGGCATCCCTGTCTCTAAAGTCATGCACGAAGCATCTTTATAACAGAGCCAATAAGCAGCATAGGTCGTAGCTACAGGAATTTAAATATATATACATTTATCATTACATAATTTTGCATAATAAAGTTTTCAGGCTACTTTTAATTTTTAAACTCTCCTTTGAATTATAAAAAGTCCTGTAGCAAAATATGTATTTTTAAAATAGAACTGTATTATTTCCCTAGGCAAAGTGAAGTTGATATAAAGACTTTTTTCCCACAGTTAAGCTGTGGATGGGGAATCAAATTTCAAATAAGATATTGAAATCAAGATCCTCATCACCTCATTGCCCTGCCTCCATTGACCACAACAACAAAACCAATCATTAAGATGTTTGTAAAGCATTCCTATTAATGTTTCAAATTCATTTTTTCACAAATTTATTCAATAGATGTTTATTGACTGTATTACGTGCCAGGCATGGAGCTAGTTACCACATTTACAATGAAAAACAGTATACACATTGTCCTGCCCGTGTTCTTTGCTGACTTAAATTATCTATGTTTTTAATTGATCTTGCAAATGTAAAAACAAGTTACACTGAATGGGATATTACTCAGTCATAAAAAAGAATGGAATATTGCCATTTGTGACAACATAGATGGAGCTAGAGAGTATTATGTTAAATGAAATTAGTTGGACCAAAAAAAGACAAATCCCATGTAATTTCACTTTTATGTGGAATCTAAAAAACAAAATAAATGAACAAACAAAATGAAAAGGAAACAAACTGGTAGATACAGAGAACAAACTGACGGTTGCCAGAGTATTAAGGGGTGGGAGGTTCAGCAGAAAAGGGAAAGGGGATTAAGAGCTACCTAGATAGAAAATAGACTGACAGCCAGGAGAGGGGAGGGGGCAGGATGAAAAAAAGGAGATTAAAAAAACAACATCAAAAAAACTTATAGACACAGACAACAGTATAGTGATTACCAGAGGGAAAGGAGCATAGGAGGAGGGTAAAAGGAGACAAATGGTGACAAAAGGAGATTTGACCTGGGGTGTTGAACACAATAAAATATACAGATGATATATTCTATAA